AATCTATCCATCCCCATACACCTATCTAATCTATCTATCATCTATGTCTCTATCAACCCCCATACACCCATCTATCTAATTTATCTATCTATCCCCATACACCCATCTATCTATCTATCTGTCTGTCTATCCCCATACACCCAGCTAATCTATCTATCATCTATCTATCTATCTACCCCCATACACCCATCTATCTAATCTAATCTATCTATCTATCTAATTTTAGGGTTTTATCCTGCTCACCATCCCCCTAGAATCTGAGTCTTCCACATTAAAAAAAATAGTAATAGTGCAGTTACTAGTCTCTTGCTCTGCACCCTGCTTGAGGTAAGGTTGGATTTTTGAGGGGGCCTGGCAGAAGGTGATGGGGGACGGCAAGGGGCTGGGAATAGAAGGGGTTGTTTTGGTGGAAAGGCTTTCTCAAAGAGGAAGGTTTTGCAGCAGTTCCTACAAATGGTCAGATGCTGGGGGCGCCTGATCCCCTCTGGAAGTTCGTTCCATAGCCGGAGCCGCTCACCTGAGAATGCCTTGTCCCCATCGCTCACATGCTTCATCATCTGGCCCTTTGTTTCGTTTGAAGGGAGGATGAGGAGAGGAGATATTTCACCCAGGTGCAGAAATTAGGGCAGTCAAAGGCAGTCCAACCTGATATTGGTCATGTCGCTCTCTTGCATTTGTTGGCTATGAAACTGCCAGCCCGACTCAGGGGCTTGGCTCAGGGGGGCTTTGACTTTGAGCTCGGAGGGAATCCACACACAGTGCTTTGTGGCTACCACTAAACCCCAAGGTGACCAAACAAATTTAGTGACTTCCTAAGGCACTAGAAGAGTCATTGCTTCAAATCCCCCTCAGACCCATAGCGAGTAAGGCCGTGTCTGCACTTAAGACTGTTGCCGCTATAGCAATGTTGGTTGGGATGTGATTTTTTTTTAATGATATTTTTATACCAGTAAAAGCCACAGCGTAGACACAGTTATACTGACAAAATGGCACTTTTGCTGGTGTCAGAGAGTCACCGGGCGATGCTCTGGAACTACTCCCTACGAAGCCAGGCAGGTCTCTGGGGGAGCCTCTCTCTGAGAAGCTTACAGCTTTGACCTTCCTGGGTCTGACCTTGGAGCAGTCAGCATCCCTTTCCACACCGTGCACTTTCCGCAGCGAGTCCGCACAAGCGGGGCTCCTGGGGACGCCAGAGGGGCCTGCACCCCAATTCCGCAGTCAGACGTGACTCTCAACCAGCCGGTAAAACAGAAGGTTTATTAGTCGACAGGAACACAGCATGGAACAGAGCTTGCTATTACAGACATGAGTGACTTTCAGCCAAGTCCATCTTGGGAATCCTAGGCCAGATGCCCTGGATTCCCCCTCTTCCAGTCCCCCCACGCAGACTGCCAGCCTCCAGCTACCTGACCTTGTTATGTAAAGCCTCCGCTCAAACGCAATTGTAAGATCTGTAACTTGTATCAAAAGTTCTGCAACCTTTTTGCAGACTTTGTAACTTCAGTGATTGTTAGCACAGCCTTTTAAGTTTTGTAACCTCTGCAAGCTCTGTAACCTTTTCAAGTTACCACTTGTCTGAACTTCCAAGCTTTGTAATATCCCGTCCCTCAGAGAGAGTGTGAACGAGGGAGTGTGAACAAGGGAGTGTATGTGGGACTGGGCGGAGAGGAGCTGCAAGGAGAAAGGAGCCCAGAGACAGGAGCCAGGTGTGTCTGATATAATCTGCCCTGAGAAGGCAATCACGAAGTGCTGTAAAGATAGGGTTACCATAGTTTAAGTGTCCAAAAAGAGGACACTCCACGGGCCCCCGCCCCGCCCCAACTCCGCCCCCAGCCCCGTCCCTTCCCGGCCCCGCCCCAACTCCGCCCCCAGCCCCGTCCCTTCCCCGCCCCTTCCCGGCCCCGCCCCAACTCCGTCCCCTCCCCTGAACGCTTCACCCCCCTGCCCCTCCCCCTCCCCTGCTTCCCATGAATATTTGATTCGCGGGAAACCTGAAGCAGGCAGGCAGCAGGTAAGCTGGGGCTGGGGCAGGAGGGCACAGCCCAGTCCGGCCCCCCCGGCCGAGTGGCTACCTCCGGCGGCCGGCCCAGGCCAAGAGGCTCTGGCCCCGGCGTCTCCCGCCCGGCTCGGGGGCGCCGGCCCCTGGCCCCGCACCGCCTGCCCCGGCCCTGGCCCCCGGCCGAGCACCGCCGGCCCTGCGGCCCCACACCGCCGGCCCCGCGGCCCCAGCCGAGCACCCCCGGCCCCTCCCTATTTTCCCGGACATGTCTGGCTTTTGGGGATTTCCTCCTGGATGGGGATTTGAGGCCCAAAAAGCCGGACATGTCCGGGAAAATCCGGACGTATGGTAACCCTAGAAGAGAAGAAGAACCTGGAATGCATGCAAGGAACTGGTCTGGGAATGCTTCTCGGTGATGGACACAGAAGGAAAACTCAGTGTACGTGACAGAAGCCGCCCAGTTCCAGAAAA